AATTTAGAGTCGGTATGCTTAACTTCGAAGTAACTTTTGAGTTTGCGTGTATCTAATTAAAAAAAAAAAAAAAGTTTGATGGGATTTGGTGATTGAGGCTAATAATTGAAGCAATCTCCCAGGCTTAAAGCCAAATATCATTAGAAGCACCACCATCAAAAGATAAGGGTATCAATATGTACTCTTTTTTCTCTCTTTTGGATCTAATAATTGCTCATATTTTGTTATCCTATCCACACACACTAATATACTTATATATCCATTGAGACTATATTTCTATATTGGAAGAAGCAAAAGGACATGGCCCTTCACTTCAGGCTATCATTTTTTTTTATTAAAAGGAAGAGATTAATTGAATAAAGAACTAAACTTGGTAGAAAGAGGTGATAGTGAAAGATGCACAACTCCTCGACCCAAATTGGAGAGGTTGGGTCAAAAGGTGTTACTAGAAGAAAGTCAAGGGAATCTTTTGAAATAATTGAAGGATAGCAATGACATGCGGTGACTTGTTAGACGATAATTTGAGTATTAGTATGATGTTGTGCTTAACATATTTCGATACTTAAGCCAATGACGTGGTTGGAGTAATAAGGAGATGGAAATAAGTCAGGTTATGTACCTTTATATCGGAAGTGAGTCTCATATTTATAGTACTTTTCCTTAAATATAATGTCTACCTTTGTGTTAAGGATATTTAGTAATAAATTATAGTTTATCATATATATTATATTTGATATTTTATTATAAAGTAAATATCTAATATTTGCCTTATTACCATAGGTATCTTTCCATTTATTGTTATTTCTCATTATTACTCTTTCCATATCCTTGTAATTTATTTGATTATAAATAAGATAACTTTCACATCATTTAGGTGTGGTGGATTAATCAAACATTCTTATGGTATCAGAGCCATTTTGGTTTAGCAATCCGGATCCTTTCTTTTCAATGACTTTTGAAATCTTCTACTGTTCTTCTCCACCACCACTACTGGCTTTGACGCCGCATGGGCAGTTGTCATAGTTGCCACATGCAGAGCCGATTGATTACTCTTCGGCTCCACCCTTTTGACCTCAAAATCATTCTTCGCCATACTTTGTACATACAACCTCACCTTTTCCAACACAATCGATTTTCCCTCCACCAATATAGTCTCTTTCATTTTCTTCCCAATATTCCCTTCATCCTTCACATAAACCCTAACCTAAACCTATCAATCTTCTGCAGAGATTTACCTTTGGAATCTGCGCGCCGCACTGGCCTCTTTGCCAACCAAGTTGCCGCCGCCCTTCTCGCCAAAATTGGCTCCTTCGCCCAATGTGGCGAGTCTTCCGGCTTCAACATTGTCTTTGTCCCTTGCTCTAGGCTTCCCCTTCTACTTCTTGGGGTTAGACATATTCTCACCAGAGCCAAGGTAGCATTGTCGCTAAGCAACAATCCCTCTTCATGGGTTAGACATATTCTCGCCAAAGCCAAGGCAGCATCGCCGCTGAGCGGCGATCCCTCTACAATTTTCGATGGCCAAGAAAGTGCTTTTCTACGCCTCCTCTAAACTAGATTGTTGACATCTTCACGAAAAGTGTTTCTCAACCTCTTTGAATTTTTCAGATCCAAGCTTCACGTTCGTTCAAATCCGACGCTTAGCTTGCGGTGGGGTGTTAAGGATATTTAGTAATAAATTATAGTTTACCATATATATTATATTTGATATTTTATTATAAGGCAAATATCTAATATTTGCCTTATTACCATAGGTATCTTTCCATTTATTGTTATTTCTCATTCTTACTCTTTCCATATCCTTGTAATTTATTTGATTATAAATAAGATAACTTTCACACTATTTAGGTGTGGTAGATTAATCAAACATTCTTACTTTGTGATGAGATAAATAGATTTGTATGATGGAACTAGTACCCATTTTTTATGGTCCTCGTTCATTGCTCCGACTTGATGAACAAATGTTTGAGGCTTTCTACTCATTTATTGAGCAGATGTTAGATTATGACTTGCTAATCTAGTCCTGAGTCGATCCATATGGGAATGCATTTAGTATAATGATTTATTCATTTTAATAAACTTTGGAACAAAAGAGAGTAAAAAATAGAAAGAGAGAGTATTAGATGTTTCATATTATAACTATTTTTCGCCAACCTTTTAGAAAATTCAAATTCTAAGTCAGGTCGATTTCAAATTATTCAAGTTCAATTCAAGCTTCAACTACTAATATGAAATATTGTACTTCATTAGAATAAGAATCTTGAGTACTCAAACTTGAGTTACAGGTTTGAAACGTAAGAAGCCTTGGTTGCATGTATGAAACCTAGGATGTAGGTACTTAGACTATATCACTTTGAATCTGAGAAGCATTGAGTATAGGTTTTCAAATTGTGTTTCTTAGAACGTAAGAAGCCTTGGACTCAAGTTTCAGACTACAATGCTTGGAACGTAAGAAGTCTTGGGTATAGGTTTCAGACAGTATCACAGAGAACACATAAAACCCTAGATGTATGTTCAAACAAGAACTCGAAACTCAAGAACATAACCTAAAGACCTAAATTCTCAGGATTGGAACAAGAACAAGTCAAGAAAGCATGTGATATTCTACTATACCTCAAAGACATGATTAAAAGATTATAAGTAATTTACTTGAGTACACAATCAAGTTCTCTCATGTTTTTCAGGTGACAAGAAGGAGCCAATAAATGCTATACTGAGCCACATCGTGTTTCAACTATTTAATGTCTTAAGTTGTTTTGTTTATCGGGCGTCCATTATATTCAAACATACTTTTTATTTGTAAATAAAATATATTTATATTTTACTTTAAGAATGAAAAAGTTTACTATTCTTTTTACTTAAATTTTTATGCTTTAAAAGATAGTCGCCTCTCGAGTCTAAAAAATCGGGTCATGACAACCCTAGTCAATTCACATATTGTGTATGGAGTGACCATGCAACTATTAGGGCACTATCCTAATCAATTCAGGTATCATATAAGGATTAACCTTACAACTATTAAGTACTATCCTAAACATACCCCATATCAGGGAAGGAGCGACCTTGCAACTATTAGGGCACCACCTTTATAGAATTACATATTAGAATTAGGGTACTATCCTAGTACAATCATATATCTCATATATCTCATATAAGGAGTGTATATAAGGAGTGTACCTCATATATAATAATTAAGGCACTGCCCTATTAGAATTTGTACCTATACACGGTGCAATTGACATATGTTATCGTTGAAGCACAAACAACTTTAGTTCAGGTGACCTTAATAGCTAACTATCCATTCACACAAGATTCTTTACTATACTTCAATCAACCATAGATACTCTCATCCACTAACATGCTTAATCAAGCCAATGTCAATCACGTTCGTGCATAATCTATATCACATCATAATCTCAACAACAATTCCTATCTGGCTTATCCTTTAAGCATAAACATAGCTCTAGTTTTAAATAGCTACTTACGATCCATCAGTTCAATTTACTTGTAATGGCCTAAGTCCACTGCTAACAGATATTGTTCTCTTTAGGCTTTCTCTTTCGAACTTTCACGCTTTTAAAACGCGTCTGTTAGGGAAAGATTTTCATACCCTTATGAAGGGTGAAAACTTTATCAATATGAATCAAACAAAACCATCGTACAAGGATAATTTGGCCGATTAAGAGCTTTAATTTGAGTTATGTTTTAAATCTTCTTCCATCTAAGTTGTATTTTAATCTATTCTAGGTTAACAATAAAAATAATTTTGCTTTATTGTTATTTATGGAAGGCTCTTAATGCGCTCCTCCAACATTGGTTTTAACATCGAGTTAAACAAGTATTTTTTTACGAACTTTACTAGCATGCATGTAGTAATACCTTTCCGATCATTAATGGATGCCTAAATTCAATACTTCTCCAAAAAAATGGGATTGAAATTCAACTACTAATGATTGTTGTTAGTTCATGAAATCTAGGGTTGAGAAACACAAGGATTTGTTGGATGGTTTTGGGTTCATTTGTAAGAGTAAATAAAAGACAGGAAGTGATGATTTGTTGGCAAAGCTGAAGAGCATAAGCTCACCAACCGGCAAACCCAAACAATGAATACATACGAGAATATATATTCCTACAAAATCAAAACAGAATCTGATGTGCAAAAATGAATAAAAAATGATACACAAAGGCATTGGCATTGGGGGAATAAAAGATGCGTCCTGCAATTTCCTTGAATCTTCGTTTCAATTATTAACCCATATGAGTTCCAAAGTCAAATATGTCGTCTTTTTTCTGAATGTGTCCAACTCAAATCCATATGATCCTTCATTATATTTCTCTCCACATTATTGATCAATAAACAACAATATATGTATCATCCAACCCACGAATGGCCATTATTACTATATAATGATTCAATCTTATTTTTATGTTTATTTTGTTTTATGTTCTTAAATATATGAATGTTTGTATCTCAAACAAAATGGTGATGTAATGAACCTTCATTCATTCAATCAACATCCTATTGTGTGTTGGAATTATGAATACCTACGAGATCAGAGTTATATCTCATTAAATATAATTCCGGTGTATTCAAGTAATTTTTTTTTGTTCAAATGTTATAATGAATACGATAGCATTGATAGCCCATATTATTAAAAGTCTAAAATTTTTTATAGCGTTTTTGTATAGGTATAATAGATGCTACAATAGAGTATAAAACTATAGCTTATATAAGTTGTTATAAAAACATTAAATAGCGTTGTATTAAAGCCATAATATGTTAAATATAGCTAAAATATTATGTTATATTTAAGTTATTATAGCATATATTATTCATAGTTTTAATCTTATATCTTATGCTATAACAATATTATTTGATCATTAATTATATCTTGATAAAATAGTTTATTCAAGTATTCCTTTTAGCTAAATCGGCACCTGTATTAGTTCATTTCACATTAATACTATAACTTTCATTCATAATTGAGACGATGACAAAATGAATATTCAGTAATTACACAGAATAAAGAGGATCACCGAGCCAGGATCGTATCAACCTTTTGGCCAATGTTTATTGATTCAAAACCAGAAACCCAAGATGATTCTGATGACTGAGTGATAATAGAGAGATTAAACACAATCTCACCCATGCTTGGCCTCGCCATTGGCAAGTCATTGGTGCATGCCTTCCCCAAATCTGCCAAGCTCACAGCCTCATCAATGGGGTATAAACTTTCAAGTTTTGGGTCCATCCATGCCCTCAGCGCCCCTTCCTTTGTCTCCTCAATATCCATCACCTCTCTTATAACCTTCCATAACATCCCGACCTCGCCGTTGCCTTTTGTTTCGGTTGCTTTTTTCCCCGAAAGTAACTCCAATAAAACAACTCCAAAAGCAAAAACATCTATCTTGTGTGATATTGAGTCTATTGCCGGCTTTGCCATTGATAGATTTGCAAGCTTTGCCTTCAACCTCGAGTCGAGAAGTATGTTACTCGTTCGGATATCTCGATGAACGACGCTCGGTTGAATATGTTCGTGCATATATTGCAAACCATTGGCCACGTCTAATGCTATGGATAGTCTTTGTTCCCATGTAAGAGAAGCCAATGAAGAGGAGTGCAACCATTTATCAAGTGAACCATTTTCGGCGTATTCATAGACTAGGAAGCAACTCCGATCAATGTCGATCGAGAAACCGATTACTTTTACTAGGTTCACATGGTTTACTTTCTGCAAAATGTTCAGTTCCTCTGTTATACCTTCCTTGCTTTTCTTAACAGCAAAGACTTGGCCGTCGATTGTTGCTCGGTACACCGATCCTCTTATTCGATAGCTCTCATTGAGATTCTTGGTTGCCTCCATGATCACATTGATGTCATACAAGATTGGTTTGCTTAGATAATCTGAAACCTTGGGAAGCAACCTATCATCTTGATAGCCAATCTTAGCCTCAAAGGCATTGTTCCTTGCAGGGCTATCACCAATTTCCATAGGGAACTTGTTCCATTTCAATGAATTCCTATTCTTAAAAACAAAATGAACACATACCAGGCCAGCTGCTAGAACAAGAAGTAAAAGTGAACCTCCTATGCTCATGGAAACGACGACAATCTGCTTGCGTTGATCGTTCTTCATCTTGTAGTATGGATTCATATGGGAGAGAAGAGGCAACTTCAACACGGGAATAAACACGGGAAGGTTTGGTGTGTCTCTCATTTTTGTGTAGTTATTGTCTGCTAATATGGCATCCGTCGAGACATTAAACTCGGTACTAAGAACAGAAATGTTCTCGGTCGGCTGCCATATGTAAGTAATGAAGTGTTTGATGTTCTTTTCGACTTCGGTTTTCGAGGGACACTTGCAGTATAGAGGAAAAGTTATTTCATCTCCAATGTGCAGAAAGTTTGGATCCAAATTGGGATTGGCAGCATTCACTACTTGCCACTCAGTAAGATGCTGAAATGCAGTCATTGCTAAAGTAAAGTAGACGTCCCCCTTCTTGATTTGGTAAGTGATATTGGCAAAGTAATGGTCTCCATTGCAGGCACATTGGACAGGAATCAACAAGAGCTCGCCCGGGAATAGACGACCATCCTCGGGATTCAAGTTACTAGCTTCAGCAATCAACGATCGATTAACTCCAAACAGATCAGACACATTCTCCAAATCCAAAAAGTCAGGAGAGCTTGCAAAGAAGCTCACGTAAGTGTTGCAAACAGATTCCGAATGACATGACGAGCCAACCGTTGAGTTCGACAGCGATTGAGAGACTGCGAAACAACAAGAACATAAAAAGAAAATAAGAACAAAAGCTTGAGATGATATGAAGTAGAAAGCCATAGCCATGAGAGGTTAGAAAAAATGGATTAGATAGCTTAGGAAGCCAAGCTCTGATATCAGAAAACAATAATCTATCATTTAGAGTAAGAGAAAAGGCATCAAAGTTAGTGAATTTGCCATTTGGAAAAGATTCATAACAAAAACCAAAAGAATATCATAACTTTGTTTGCATCAAAATACAATAAACAAAGCTTCAAAGGACGGCAGGGTTGGCCCATTCTCTGCAAATAAACTCAAGAGTAGCATAAAGCCAACAGGGAAATTGAGTTTTATATAACAAAATTCATGTTTTTCATCTCAGACAAGGCAGAGGCCCTGTTAAACAACAAGCTTTTCTAGTAGATTTTGTCAGATTTCATGATTGGGTTAACATATTTTAGTTAGAATTTTTGTTTTACATTTCAAGATGTTCTGTAGAGCAACATTGGCCATAAGTTCTCTGTAAACTACTGCTATTCTTGCTGCTGTGGTCTATCAGTGGCAGGAAAAGAGTGACCAACCATTCATATGAAAATGAATTTCATATCCAATAACAGCAAAAGTGTGTATTCATCCAAACACTTGTGCACATTTATGCTACATTTATTTAAGAGAGATTCACAATAACTTCACATAACTTTTGAATGCTTATTTTGATTTTGTTTTTGCTTCTCATTATGTACTACTATGTTGTGTTTTTGTATGAACTTGGGATTATATATCCAGAGGTAAAGCTATTGAATGTTACTCTATGGAAAGGTTCCAGTCAGCCGAATGTGATCGAGGGTCGTCTTTAGGCCATATTTCGACACGGCGTTGTTCCCTTCCCAGAATCCCTTTCCATAAGCTGATAATGGATTTTTCTCGATCTGGTGTTTGAAAAAGTCCCTAAGTTTCTCCTCAAAGTCAGATCGTCTACCTTTCTTTGAAGATGAAGAAGACGAGGACGATGAAGGTGATGAAGATGAAGATGTGGAGGCCACACCACTTCCAGAGATGGAATTATTCTCAGAATCCAACCACGTGTGAGCCAGTACTTGGCATATTCCTTCTTCAACCTCCGGCCTCAAAATGGGATAGCCTGTTTAATGTTGTGTCACAAATTTTGTTCATGAAATCAATAGTAAACGATAGTACAAAACAAAGAGACGACCTTTAAGCCTCAGCCATGCGTGCATCATCTCGTGAGCCAAGATAGATCCTGTCAGTAACCTGCAATGACAAAGCTACGGGCAAACGTCAACAACTTCACTTCGACATCCATTCGAAGAGCATTAGTAATACACATCAAAGTAAGTCGCTTGGCTACTATCAAGGAAATCCTACCTAGGAAGGCCATACAAAACGAGAATAGCGGTAACTTCGCATCGACGAACTAATCTATGAGGTTCGGTAAACATGTCTTTTATAGGGTAGCCTGCCCCAATCTTTGGCCTTTTCGAGATCTGTAGATTTTATTGTGAACAATACATCATACCACATGGATCAAATCAAATTAGCTCAAAAAAATCTAAGAAGGAGAATGTCATACAGTAGCAACAGTCTGTTCTTCTGATAAGCAGAGTCCCCTGGTTTCAGGTAAGTGATGGTGACCCTATTATCCACAAACAAAAGAGAATCAAATGAGTTCTTGATAAGAAGGATGACAACATGTAATGCTTTTCACAAACAAGCTCCATTGGCCCTTACATTCTTTTCTCCCTCCATGGCCTCGTTTAGAGCTTGCCGCTCGACCAGCAACAGGGGAACTTGCTGTTCAACTTTCATGTTCAGACCCTCATAAAATTCTTGAATTTCGAGGTATAGAGGCTGACATTCATGAGTATCCATAATTGCCGAGTCCGAACACTCTAAACAGAGCTTCCGTCCATCTTCAAGTAACAGATAACTAGTGTCTCTCGTCTGCATCAATAAAAAAAAGTCAGTTCAACTACAACCAACGACACGCTGAAAGTAATGATCGTTGTTGTTCTTGATCAAGTAAAAACCGAGATCACCTCCATTTGTTCACAACTACAACATCTCGGCGTTCCATCTTTTTCATGTGAAGGACAATACGGTCGTGACGAGATAGGTTGCTTTATATACTCTATAACACCAGAAGAATTAAAAGGAATCTGTGCAGAGGGGAATCAAGGAAAAGATCAGAAACAATGCATTTCAAGGTTATACAGTTTCATAACCAACAGATACGAAAGAGACGACAAGACCCTTCGTATTTCATTCTCAAAACGATACTCATTTTAAACTATTAAGTATCTCAAACTGATTTTGAACACATAACAGAAGAATCTGCCTCGTCTTTACCAGTTGAATTGTGCATTAGAGAAAGCATATCTACAATGTTTAAGTTGCTTAAAAATTCTGCAATGTATAAGCAAGAACATGCACCTTCCTGAGATGGAATGGATAAATCCATGCAATAAAATGAGTAAACAGAAGAGATTCTCACAAAGTTGCGGCAAACGTCACATCTTGGGTGATGTTGCTCCTTGTAGTAGCAGGATTCGTGATAAGGTCGGTTCGAGAAGATAGGAAACTGTCAAAATTTTGATTCATTATAACAACAACCAATAGGCAGACGTTCAAAATGTGGAAATAGTAGCTAACGTTAACGGGAATTAGATTTAGCAGATAGTAAATGAATATCTCTCGGTATTTTACAATTGCATATCTACCTTATAATCTGTAATGGGTTCATTGCAATAATTGCAGCGAAAACATTCTGGATGCCAAAAAGCTTCCATGCTACTTAGAAACCGCCCATAACCAATCTCAGTGTGGCACCCGGCACAAACCCTACATGAAGTATGCTTTCAGTTCTTTCATATTGTCCAAGAATTATTGTTCCAGAAGCATCACTATCATTTCTTTCAATTACAGAAGGCTTTACCAATAGGTGACAAAGGAAGCATAACTATATGAAGCAAAGAGATTAGACAATTTATATCATGAAATAGCATAATAAGGACGAAGAATATTTCAAGGGAATGCTTTTGATCCAAAAAGGCCCCCTCAATTTCTTTCTTTCCAAAGGATCCAAAAAGAAGGCTCTAGATATGTTCATTCATAGTCAAGCCTTCATTTTCTTGAAGGGATGGCCCGTATGCACCATACGTAGAAGCGGTTAGGAATCATAACTCTCCACAATGATATGATATTGCCCGTATGCACCATACGTAGAAGCTGTTAGGAATCACAACTCTCCACAATGATATGATATTGTCCACTTTGAGTATAAGTTCTAATGGCTTTGCTTTTGATTTCTTCAAAAGGCCTCAAACCAATCGAGATGTATTACTTACTTATAAACCCATGATCATTCCCTAAACTAGCCAACGTGGGACTCCCTCCTAACAATCCTTCACGTCCCTTGGCATCACCATACGCCAGCCAAGGTCTTGAGAGTTTTGTACCGAACACAAAATGTAAGAACAATGAACGAGATCCTGAGTTTCTTCTAAACTTTTCTGGCACAATCTACAAAGGTTACGTCTATAAGTTTGACTCATCTAACTTTAGATTCACCCATCAAATTGGACCTTTTGGTTCGGTCCATGGACAATCATTTTTTAACCTTAAACCAAATTTGTAGTAGCATAAACTCATCATCAGACCAAGGTCGGGCTACGCCAGTCACTAGGCCACAGGCCCTTTGACGAGGCCGAGAAATGTGCATAAGTGACCATACGTACCTGTATCCAGATGGATAGAAGACAGGATTAGGATTGAAAATATATCTAGGAGGTGGTGGATCTATGTTTAGACTTTCTTGGAAAGCTCTAGCTAACTGTTCATCTTCTTCAGCTTGAAATTTCAAAATCATCTCATCTTCCTCGTGTTGAGCTTTGGCAGATCGCTCGTCTTCCTCCATTCGAGCTTTGGCAAGTCTCTCATCTTCCTCCAATTGAGACTTGGTAATTTGATTGTCATCCTCTGCCTGGGCTATGCTACCTTGTTCATCATCCTCTGATTCATCTTTGGTACTGTGTATGACATCTTCATCACTGTGAGATTCTTCCTCTGCAATTGATAAATTATGAAAAATGAAATGCTCAACTCAAGCTATGAATGAAACCTTGATATAGTGTGGCCCAGCTTGCACAGAATCATTGTTTATGACCATGAGAATTAAACAGCATTGTTGAAGAGTCTTGTATGAGTGTTCTTTTTCACAAATATTTTTTTATTTCTTTTTTTCCACTGATTTCAAAAAAAGGTCATGATGAGGTTCTTCCATTGTAGGGCTTTTGCATTCTTGAATGGATGTTACGTTAGGACCATGTCCAATAGATCCTTTACCTCCCTAAGAAATATGAGATGTCATCCGAAGATATTGAGGATTTTTGTCAACAAATCGTATGTGTATTGCATAAATAGGTGGCTTTGTGATTCACTTCCTTTCTTGCATAATGGGCACTAACTTGGAAATAGAGTCATGTAGGGCATTCTTTTTTCTAAAATTTCACTTGTACTAATGCCTTTATGCATTACATCTCAAAGAAAGAACTTCATCTTTTTAAGGTGGTTTCATTTTCATATTGTCTTTGCTAGCATGGAATTTATTGCTACCCCATTTATAGCAACCTATGGAAAGTAAAATGAGATAATGATCAAATGTAGATCTATTTAATCTTCAAACACGGTGTTACTGAATTTTCCAAGTAGACCTTCTGTGGCCAGAAATATGTTGATGAGTGTCAAGGAGTGTCAAATGTAGATCTATTATTGAGGGGAAGGTCGGTGAGTTCAGCTTCTCTTATAAAATTGTCAAAGTGTCTCATGCCTCTAGTGACTTTTCCACTTGACTTTTCATGTTCACACCGAGAGATATTGAAGTCACCAGCCAAAAGCCAATTCTCTGTGCATAGGGAAGATAGGTCCTGCAATTCCTTCTAGTAGAGATGTCTTTCTTGATATCTACGGCGGCCATAGATCCCTGTTATAAGGCTTTGGTGACTTCGGAGATGATCAGATTTGGGTCATTCCACATAATTAAGATCCCTCAATGTTTCTAAAGCGTCCAAAGCTGCCCAACAAATGTGTCTAGCACTCCAAAGGGATTTAATCATTCAGCAATCAATAAAATTCAATTTTGTTTCTGGAAGAATAACCATAGTGGAGTTGTATTTGAGGATGAAAGTCTTGATGAGGGCTCCCTTTAGCCAATCTCCCAAGCCTTTAACATTCCAAGAGATAATAATCATAAAACGTATTGACCACCCAATTGTGACTTGTTAGACTTCTCATAATTGATGTCTAAAAGAGGCCAACAATCTCTGTAGTCAGTTTACTCTATTTCTTGGTTGTAGTGGGCTTCTTTTTCCTCGAAGGAATGCCATGATGCACATGTGGTGTTCTTTTAGCCATGGTGCTAAGATTTAGATGGTCATTGCTGGTCAGAGCTTCTTCGATAATGAGGTGACCTCTTTTGTCTCTGTTTCATTCTGTTTTTTCTGAAAAAGAGTGCCTAGCTCTATATTCGCAAGGATATTCTCTGGCGACAAGAGAGAGATTGAGCATACCCGCGATAGGGGATGAGGGGTTGTGGAGAGGGGTAGAGGGCTAGATGCATATTCATTGTCAGATTCTAAGTGAGAGCCAACCGTGGAGAATTTTGTTTCTAGGACGAGGAAGATTTTTTGGTTCTTTATGATGATGGCATGTTTTTCTAGTGACGTTGTCACAACTTGTGGTCGATGATAAACGGTGGCGTAGTAAATGGTGTTTTGGAGATTGGTGAAATGTGGGGTGAGGGGTTGGTCAGTTCTTAATGTCTAATGTGCTATTGCTTATTGCCAAAGATGAGATGTGATGATGATAAGCTAAACATCATCAAAACAAATGTGTGTACATCGTAATGGTAAGGTTAACTTGTCAAGTGCCATACTCAACTTATGATATGTCATCTTCATAATGCCCCAAACACACAAGCGATGAATGCACTTAAAAGAGGCTTTAAAACATGCTCAAAGATTAAAAAAAACTATAACAACTCGAGCTACCAAACTCACCTATCACTGCTTCCACTTTTTGATCTTCTTCCGAAAGTGATAGTGCAGTTGCAAAATCAATGTCCTCTTGTTCGAACTCCGCTAATTCATCCTGCAGTCAAGTTTTCGACAAACACAGATCGGCATTGATCTATGACAGATCAGCAGAAACAGCCACATAAAAATAAGAAGAGAAGTAAAACATGTTTCCTACCACAGAGGTTTGAGGTTGATCCCAAATTCTATCATTTCCATATGTTTCCTTGTATTGGCTTTCATGGCCTTTGAAGAATTTAGTCCACCAACCCATACTTTAATACGATTGGATTGTTTGGCTGCTATACTTTTACCTGCAGCAAGTTATTTAGTCAGGATTGAAATCATTCACTTAAATTCCAATTCAAAAAAGTATATATGATACATAAAAAAATTTCTTTATGCTCTTTATATCAATCTCTATGCGTTTATCATGATTGTTGTCTGGAAAGTAACTTAACATTTCAGACCAAACATTTCAACAGTGGAAGTTTTCACTGCCATTACAGACTATTCCTAGACCAAATGAAGAACAAATCATTCCATTGAACAGAAGATTCTACAATCATGAAATCAATTCTACAATCATGAAATCAATAAGCAACTGCAGGACGCAAACCAATTCTTAGAGTGGTACAAGACGATAATTAATAGCATCATGAAAAACCCATCTCAAATTTGTCTTCACAAGACAAAGAACGAAAACGTTTAAAATGCGTCTAATAGGGAGAGGTTTCCATACCCTTATAAAGAATGTTTCATTCTTCTTCCCAACCGATGTGAGATCTCACGGTTCACTCCCTTTGCGGCCCAACATCCTCGCTGGCACTCGCTCCCTTCTCCCATCAATGAGGGACCTCCCAATCTACCCCCTTCGAGCCCAACGTCCTTGCCGGCACACCACTTTGTGTCCACCCCCTTCAAGACTCAGCCTCTTTGCTGGCACATCCCTAGATGTCTGGCTCTTATACCATTTGTAATAGCCTAAGCCCACCGCTAGCAGATATTGTCCTCTTTGGGTTTTCCCTTTCGTGCTTCCTCTCAAGATTTTTAAAACACGTCTGCTATGGAGAGGTTTCCACATCCTTATAAAGAATGCTTCATTCTCCTCCCAAACCAATGTTGGATCACACAATCTACCCCCTCAGACCCAGAGTTCTCGCTAGCACTCATTCCCTTCTCCAATCAATGTGGGACCTCCCAATCCACCCCTTTTGGACCAGTGTCTTTGCTAGCACACTGCTTCATGTCCATCCCCTTTCGAGGCTCAGCCTCCTTGCTGGCACATCGCCCAGCCCACCACTAGCAGATATTGTCCTTTTGGCTTTCCCTTTCGGGCTTCCCCTCAAGATTTTCAAAACGTGTATGTTAGGGAGAGGTTTCCACACCCTTATAAAGAATGTTTCATTCTCCTCACCAACAGAGGTAAGATCTCACGTACCGTTTAAAAAACCACTAAAAATCATCATCAAAACACCTGTATTCACAGGAAAAGCAGCAGGGAAACGAGGGTAAAAACAATGTCTGGTAAAAGAGAATTCAATTCCAATCTATTCCATTCCACCTGAAAGAGGCAAAGGATGCTGCAGAGACTATGGGATCGATAAAATCTTAGATCAGATAAAATTCCAGGACAATCAAAGTCAAAGAAGAATCATTCAAGGAAAAGGAAAGAAAAGGGAAACATAAAAGAGAATTGAAAGCGTGAAAGAAAGGACACTTCAAAAGCAGTAGCTGATCAAATAAAAGAGAAGAAAGAACGAGGGAAAAAGAATCAAACCCAGAAGAGAGAAGATTCTGTAGAGTTCATCAAATTTCTCTCGATCCTCCTCCGAAAGTAGGTACTCTTGCAAAATTTCCACGACAACCCACAAAACGTCATTGGTCCCATTTGCATTTTTAAATTTTCTGGTTTCACAAAACGTCACCAGGAGTTGATAACAAAACGACCAAAACTGATGAGCGAAGGCGTAAGAATCTGCCATCTGCGGAGTCATTGAGTTTGATTTAGCTACTATCAAGCTTCCAGAGCGGCTACCCAATCGACATCACCTTGGACTTAGTTCATTGGTTTTTGAAAAAGTGTTTTGATCAAATGAAAAAGGTCTAACAAATTGATGAAAATACTTCGTGGCAGATACTAAACAATAATGAAACCTCTTAATATTGATAATCAATTTTTTTTTTAGCATTTCTTAATAAAATATTTTTATTTTTTAAAATTAAAGTTGGTTGAAGTCTCACAGGATTCCCAAAAAAAAATTTAAGAGCTCATTCAACACAGAATTGCTCTAAGCTGAGCACGTTTAATTATTCCCTAATCAATTCATGTTATTTCGATTTAAATAAGAAATTATTACATATATAAGAGAAATTTAAAAAAATATATATTATATAATTTTGACGAAAATACAATAATAATAATTAAATAATTCTTCTTCCAGGTCTGGATTCTCAAGATATAACCACCTCTCTCTCACAAATGCAGCAATTCTGATTTATATTATTAAAAAAAAACATGGAAAAATATTAGTAAATTAAATAAATGAAAAAATATTATAAAATAATTTTAGAAAAATTCAACTATAAATATTCACAACTATATCAAAATTTTAATGGGATAAAACCAATTTGATTAGTTTTTCAAAAATAATAATTTTATTTTTTAATAAAAAAGAAAAAAATAGTAAATAAATTAAATTTTGAACTATAAATATTCATAATTATATCAAAATTCACTTAGAAAATCAATTTGAACGTCAAATTGTTTTTAAAAAGTTTTGTTGAATTAAAAAAAAAGAGAGAGAGAGAATTGATGTGTGAAGTTACTTTATTATCCTTCAACCAATTGTAGATGCAATGTTGATGATACTCATGGTCGCAGGGCAAAGTTGTCACTTTGTCCTTCCCCTTATACTTCAAATTGCATATGGCACACCTAGCCAACACAAAACAAAAAATTAAATTTAAATTTATTAAATTATAAGAATTTACCACGTTACTGTTTGAAAAATATTTTAAATTGGTAATATTACAAAGTTTTCCTTAAATTATATTTCGTTAAAAAAGATTGAAACGTCGTTTTTTGAAACAGTACAATGTTTTATTCATAAAATTATGTTCGATTTTGTTGATGTAAATATATTTGAGAATATTTCATGAAATATTTCTAATAATTAATGTTTTTGTCCACTTAATTAGGTTCATCATCACTTTTAGCATAACAGTTTTAAAAATGAAAAATTAGCCCAGTCTTTTTAAGAAAGCTTTACGGACTCACTTTCCTACTCTAAAAAGCTAATTTTGGAGTGGAGCGATGCCACTCTACAAAGGAAGGGAGCAATTATAGGCATAAGTAGAAAGATAAGTACGACGAGATATTGACTCAGTCTTTGATAAGCTAAAAGAAAAGTAAGACAATGTTTAGATTTTAGAGCTAACACTTAGCCAAATACTTTAGAAAAATTTCTCGGAGTGCTTTAATGGTACGATACTTAATATAAAAAGGTGATTTTGATCGTATCAAAAGATGAAAGCAAGAAGGAGACATACTTAGGCTTTTGAAATGATTTGCCTCACCACTTTGATGAACTGCCCTTGTGTTCGTGAGATGGCAACTTCGACATAAGTTCTTTAGACAATCCTTTGCTCACACTTCTGTCATCCGTTTTTGAGTCCTTTTTGTCATCCTCGTCATCCACATCATCCCCTGCAGATGACAACTAAAATGGTGTCAATTTTTCATCGTATTTTGTACTGACTACCATCTCAAATTAAGGAAGTTAATGTCTATCGAATGAATTCTATACTTATTTGGATTTTACTGATATAAGATGTGTTTATCTGTAAGTGCTCGATTCTTGGATAGAAATCATTTACATATTGAGAACTACCACCAAAATTCTCAAATCAATCGTTGAAAGTTTTCTGGTCATATGATTCATGAACAGTTTCCTACAAACATTTTAAAAGAGTATTATTTGTGAATATTCAAAACACAAATGAAGAATATTATTGAAGAAAAATTGAACCTGGCTTCGAATATTATCATGAGTATAAGGATAGTCTCCAAAAACATCTTGGAAAAAGTTCATAACTTCTGAGGGTGAGGGTACATTAGATGAGTGCTGAGGCCATTGGTCTCCCATGTCTAACCAATCAAATTCAAAGGACTTTTTGTTTATGAGTCTTTGTTTTTTACTTCGTGACTTCTCTAGACTTTGTTCTTGGAACATTTATGTTTAGAATTCATATTAATGAGCTGATTTGCTCATGGAAATGAATTTAAGAGGGGATATGGAATATAATATCAATGAGGTTGTTTTTATGACTTTAATCGTAAGATAATGAAACTCGTATTCATTGAGTTATATTGATCAAGTTCTTTAAACAATGTTAACAATTCATTCCACTCGAAACAATTCTCTACCAACTATTATCAACTCGAGGAAATTTTTGGACATAATTTAATATGAACTGGGATTAGATTAAGTCGGGGTAATGTAAAAGATCAAGAGGGGTGAGCTCTCAACCATTATGGGTTCCTCGATTCTGTTGGCATGGCTAAGTTTAGGGCATGACTTTGATACCATGTTAGAAATCACGACTTTCTACAATGGTACGATATTGTCCATTTGGCTTCCTAAAAGGCCTCATACCAACAGAGAGTATTCCTTTACTTATAAACTCATGATCATTCCCTAAATTAGTCAATGTGGGACTCACTCCCAACAATCCTCAACATGTTTGAAGCTTCGAGGGAGCTCACTCTCAAAACAACCGGTACACGAACTTGCATCAAGAAATCTTAATTGTAAAGGAGGAACCTAGTTAGATTTCATGTCCAATAAAAGATGCTCATTGTGGTCGATCAATAAGGTACTCAAGAGAGATTCACAAAATGAGTATATGCAAGAATGCATTTGAGCTTTCATATGTCTAGCACATCCAAATTTCTATATTGGATAAAACATTCCAAACCTACCTCCACCCATCTATTCCCTCCCAAATCCAATTCTTTCCAACACAATAATCTTTCTATCAAGATTGGAATTTCTCTGATTAAAGCATTGTTCGAAAGATCTATGATTATTCGGATTCCTGATAAACGAGTCAAGTTTACGATGACGGGCTAGTTGGCAGACCTATACCGTTCTCATATAACTGCATAACTCACATGCATGAACAATAATCATGACCAACTCATAAAGTACAGCTGTGGACTGCTGCTGCTCGTGACATGCTCACTATAGGAAGCTAACAGGCAAACTTCACTGTAGTCCCCTCAAGATACAATCATAAATCATAAAATATCATAAGCTAGTTATATGGTTATCCGAACCCCTGACAATCGAGTCAGATTCACGATTAGAGGTTAATTGGCGAACCCCTAATCCTGCATAACTGCATACATCATAAACATCTAAAACAAAGACATTAGAGTGATCTAAACATGGATACCTAGTCATAAATTCAGTTTATAAGATAGTGCATATATGTTTTACTAAACATACATAATCACATTCAACATTGGATGTGTCATCTCAACTCATTCTATGCTCAAACATAAATAATCGGCTTCGCATAACATGCTTTATATCATACTAAAGGCATGCTCTCAATTTCGGTCATATCATAACTCAACAGTTCGTTCTTTGATAAATGTGCATCATAACATTTAATGTGCTCTTACATACATCAAACCTTGTCCAGGAGTTTCTCTCTCCTCTAGCCTCATCTTCTTATGCTCATAACTCCCTTTTCCGACACCGACCGTTCCCAACTCCTACTACCAATACGTAGCCCCTCTTCTCCCTGAGTTTAGCAAGCCAAAAATCATGTGATTCGGTTGAGATTTAAGGGATATACAAGCTTCGGAGTTTATGAAAACCCCCATAACACCTTGCCTCCAATCGAGCTCCCAACTCCACCGTCCGTCGTCCTCTTGCTCGATTCATCCCCACGATGTTCAAGCCACAAGTCTTGTGACAAACCCCTAAACTTCCATCCCGAATCGGTTATGAACTACTAGCGGATTAGGTATGAGCTTTTCTTCGACAAGTCTGCCACTTGGTCATCCATATTCTTCTTTCAAGGCTTTCTCTCCAATAAAATGGTAATGCACCTCCACATGCTTTGTTCTAGCATGAAATATCAGATTTTCAACTAGAGGAACCATAGATTAGTTGTCGCAATGAAGTTGTTACGGATAGTCAACTTTCTGGTGCAAAACTTCCATTAAGAGTTTTAACCACATACTTTCTTGAGTTTTTCTCTCGTTGCTGCTCTATACTCCGCTTTTGTAGTTGACAACGATACTATTGGATGTTTTTTGCTACAACAAAAAATTGTTCTTGAATTGAGCTTAAACACATACCTAGTGATTGATTTTCAAGTATCGTGGTCTCTTGCATGGTTAACATCGCAGTATCCAACTAGTTTGTAGTCTTCGCATCTTTTGTACAAAAGATTGTAGTCGATTGCACCTTTGACATATCTTAGGATCCATCGAGCCACATCCAAATGAGGTTTTTCAGACTTTGTACGCATCGACTAATGACTCCAACTACATTCTCAAATTTATTTAGTTGGTTCATGCCAATCTCCTAATCCAAATCTCCATGCAAGAAAGCATTCTTCACATTCTTCTACCATAGTTTCTAAATTTTACTTGTCACAAGTGCTAGCCGGACCTGTATAGTAGTGATTTTTGCCACTAGACTAAACATTTAATCATAGAGCCAGAGCCTTGTATCTCTCAATTGATTCATCCGGGAGACACTTGATTTTGTAAACCCACTTGCAAAAGATGAGTTTGACATCTTCTAGTATTGACACTAGTTTCCATATTTGATTTTTCTCCAACGCTTTAAATTATTCCTTCACTGCCTTTTGTCAAGCCATATTTTATGATGCTTCTTCATACCTCTCTAGCTCTTTAACTTCATCTTCTATGATAGCTGCGTTAACATACTTTGGATTTAATTTTTGGATTCTTTTGAACGGTCTAAATTGTTGAGATGTCATTTTCTTTTCACTGGATTCAGTTGGTTGAGTCACTTCTTGTTCACTAACGTCAGTGTCACTAACCAAACGTGTGCAATATTGTTCAAGTGCGGCAATACTTCCTTCTCGGAGAACCATATTTTAGGAAAATTATTTAGGTATATTAAGAATAAATGATTAGTTATTATTATTATTATTATTATTTTGCATGGAAGAAAAAGGAGAGATAAAAAGTATAAGCAATCCCAACGTGGGCGCTACCGCATTAGATTATAGCACTTAACGGCTGGACACTTTGGGTTCACGTGAGTTTACCGGAATTATCCAAATAAAGGACATTTTAGGAATTTAAACCCAAAAGAAAAAATAAAAAAGAAAGCAGGAGGAATGGTCAATTTCATTGGACAATGGACAAAGCCAACTTGAGTCAAAACGTCGTCGTAACACTCGCCTATGACTATTTCCCATTAAACGACACGCCTTCATCTTCATCCTGCGTCAAACTAAAAATATCCCAATTCTTCAAAATAAAATATCCTCTCTGCAACATTATTTAAAATTTCTCCGTTCACTCTCCGCAGGTATTAATCTGTCGCCGATCAACTCCCTCTTCCTCCGAATTCACTCACCATCCTTCGCAGTTCAACGGAGAATTCATCCCACCGGTGAACCTCCGATACGAGCTTCCACGACCCCTGACTTCGATCCACTGAAACCTTTCCTTCTATTTCGTCCCGACCTTTCCATTCCTCTCGTATGTGATCGAATTTTCGCCTTCAAGAATGGATCGGTCGACGATTACTGTGGGGCCGGCCATGGATATGCCGATTATGCACGACAGTGACCGCTATGATTTCGTCCGAAATATCGGCTCCGGGAATTTTGGGGTTGCCAGGCTGATGAGAGACAAACATACTAAAGAGCTTGTCGCTGTCAAGTATATTGAGCGAGGCGATAAGGTCTATACTGGATTCTGAGTTAACTCTTTTCTTTTCTTACTGGTTTTACATCAGCTTTTGGAGCTCAGTCTTTCACTTGTTGTAACGTTTTAATCTATTTAAGGAAATTTAGGTTTTAGCTTTTGTTGTTCTCCTTGAGCGTTTTTATCTTCCATTGCTAGTTTTACAGTTGTTTGTTCTGTTCTGTTCTACTTTTAAGTTCTAATCATTGGGTGCTTTTATGGCTCTTTATTTTTTTTTCCTTTTGAACTCGCACAAACATCTTGTGATTGGGTGCTTTTCTTTTTCATCTGTTACTTGCCAATTTGAAATATCTCTATTTGGATTTTGGGGTTTGCCTTGACACAACTCTGCTTTCTTTTTATTTCTTTACTCTTTTTGTATTTTGGGAAATTTCTTTTTTAACTTGAGAACTAGCTGTAGTGATTGATGCGTATAAGGATGAAGTATTTGTTCTTTTTTGTTTTCCCCGTAAACTGGGAGTGAGAAGAGGAACTATGTTTTTGTTCAGGTCTTTTTTCTTTCCCATTCAAAATCTATATTTAAAAAAAAAAAATCTGAAAATTTATATGAAATGGTAGCGAGAGTGACATAAGTTTGTAATTTAATGCTCCTAGCTGTTTCCATCTTTCTTTACCTATCATAGCTCATGTATTTCATGCATGAACTTGCTATATTTGAATCTGTTGAGTTCGTTAACTGGTGTTCTTCTTTAGGACTGGCATGTTCTTTTATATAAATTATTGAGCTACTGAATTACGAGAGAACAGAACACAAGATAAATCCACCGTAAAACTTGTATCTAGAAACTAAAATCTTCGAAGACAATTTCACTTGGGATTGTGTTAATTCCAATAGTTAGTGGGCAAGTTCTCAATCAAATGCTATGAGGATTATGTTTTTCTTCTTAATTCTTATGAAGCTGTCGTTCTTGTAGATAGATGAAAATGTTCAGCGAGAAATCATCAATCACAGGTCCCTGAGGCACCCTAACATAGTCAGGTTCAGAGAGGTAGTCTAATTCCAAATTTATTGCTTTGTTTTTTCTCTATTTTTTTTTTTTTTTTTTAACTGAAGTATCAATGACTTCTTTCGATCTCTGGGTACTCCTGCCATGGATAAAGGTCATCTTGACGACTACCCATCTTGCAATTGTAATGGAATATGCATCTGGAGGAGAGCTCTTCGAGCGCATTAGCAATGCAGGACGCTTTAGTGAGGATGAGGTCTTGTTTTTTAAATTTACATTTTGTTTCTTCTGATTATCATCATTTTACTCTTGTTCCGGAATTGATCTCTTATCGTCCTGGTGTAGGCTCGCTTCTTCTTTCAGCAGCTTATATCAGGAGTCAGCTTCTGCCATGCCATGGTACTTGAACGGTTATATGAATCTTCAATCCTTATCATCTTCTTTTCTACATCCTATCCCTGGAAGGCAGTGGAAATTTTTTGTTATTGTCTTTTTTTTTTTTTTTTTTAATTTCTTTTACTTGCTTTTATTGGTGAAGCAAGTGTGTCACCGGGACTTGAAGTTGGAGAACACTTTACTGGATGGTAGTCCAGCCCCTCGTTTAAAAATATGTGACTTTGGCTACTCAAAGGTATTATTTGTCTGTTTCCAATTGCAATTTAGTATCTTTGTTTAAATTACATGACTTTGTAGCTGATACTTAATCTTTATTCCTTCGGTAGTTTTTCTTTGCAACTAAGATATATTTGTTCATTTGTATGGAATGCCTTTCTGTTTTGCCCCTTCTTGTACATGACTTAAATCTTAAGGAAATTTTCTGGTTTAGATGACAGCTAACTTTATCTTTCTCTTGAAGGTTGATGTGCTCTTTTAATCCTGTTTATACACCTGTGCTAGACACAATTTGAATCTAGATTTAGTTCATGCCTGCGGAGGGTTTGTGGTAGGGTAGTCTGATTTGAACTTATTGATTGACTTTATTTTCTATTTAGTCTCTATGAAAAGATTGTCACGTTGAATCAATTTTCAAATGATTGCTTTGGGGCATCCTCATGATTGAATAACTGATATTCTTTATATTCTTCAGTCATCAGTGCTTCATTCACAACCAAAGTCAACTGTGGGGACACCTGCATATATTGCTCCAGAAGTGCTATTAAGGCAAGAATATGATGGCAAGGTAAGATTCTTCTAGATTACTTCTGGTGACCTTCAATGTGGTCTCTGATGTTTCCATTTGATGGATACACGAATTCTTTACTGACTACTGGACAACAGTTTGAAAATCTGACATGTTTTCCTGCATGCTATTCTTAACCTAGCCAACTCGAGTACTTGCATTAGTTGGACACTTTTTAATTTAGTGACAGTGTAAATTGATTGCATTCTTCTTTTTGTCTGTTTTTCCAATGCTCAAATCATCAAGATAAGTTGTTGGCTCCTTCATATTTAATTGGACGAGGGCTTTGCAGGGCCACTTGTATGGCCAAAAAGTTTAGTCCAGTGATTGAATTTTTTTATTAGGAACTTCACTGATGGCAGAAGAATAACCTCTCAATATTTGCATCATAGAAGTAGACTCAATCAAGAGATTTCGAAGATGCTTATATGTACTTCTACTTCAAGCTGGACAAATTTTCCAGGGAGTAGCTTGCTGTTTGATCTCTACCACCTTATCATTGGATGGGTGATCTTTTTTTTAACTTTCCTTCTCTCTTTTATTTAGGTATGAGTTCAGTTTCGAGTTCTTATGTACTGAAATGCGAACACGTGTCTGCTTTTAGATTCCCCCCCACTCCCCCACTATAGGACCTTGGCAAAAAGCCCCCTAAGAAGGAGGCTCCAATTAGTTAAAATAAGAATAAAGGATAATTACAATCCAAAAGGGGGGTATTTCTCGTCAAAGACAAACCACTCCCCCATGACAACTAATCTGACTGCTTTATTGGGGCTGTTATTTTAATATTATCATGAAACTCTGTTACAATTGTATTTATTCTCATATTTGTAAATCATGGCTCAATCTTTTCTGAAAAATGAACATGCTACGTGAATTTTTATTCTAAGCTTAAATTTATATTATACTATTCATAGAATCTTGTCGTGCTTTGGAATTACACATTATGGTAGGCTGTATCAAAGCGTATCAACAGTTTTTTTTTCTTCATCATTGATTCCATCCTGTCAATTTAACTTGTACTCTCTCAGTAAGTTACTCACTGAACAACATGTTTACCATTAAACGTCGTGTATCACATTACATCTAAGCTAGAAGATAGTAGACTTTAAAAGGCATTTTATCTTGATTCCCTATGAAACATCAGACTGCAGATGTATGGTCATGTGGAGTGACCCTCTATGTAATGCTTGTCGGAGCCTATCCTTTTGAGGATCCTGATGAACCGAAGGATTTCCGAAAGACAATACAAGTATGGGAGATGACCCTACTAATATTTTGTTACTCTCAGTTGAAAATGCATAAGCTCAAGCTTTTCTACCGGTCCATTGCAGAGAATCCTAAGCGTGCAGTATGCTATTCCAGATTGTGTACAAATATCTCCCGAGTGTCGCCATCTGATATCAAGGATTTTTGTGGCAGATCCTGCAACGGTATGACTACAAACTAAATTTGTTTGTTTATGCTACAGTAAGAAGAGTATTATTATTCTTATTTTGAAATCCGGGTTCTGCTGATTCTTCAAAATATCTCAATTTGATCATATTTCTGCAATATCTCTTTGAAGGCCCCAATACTGGGATTTCTATGCACATGCTTTTAATGTGAGGCCTTAAATATTAACGCTAACTGATTTTAACTTTTCTTTAAGTTGCCCTGCTGGTTTACCTGGGATGTTTTGGATTGATTGATTTACCCTTGTCTGAAACTTTGGACTCATCATGTCCAGGTTAGTAGCTTTATTTGAACGACCTCCCTTACTTCATTTTGACCTAACCACTTCGTTTCCTCGAGTGACTCTTCTTTCTTTCAAACTTGATATTGCACTGCCCTGAACTCTAAGAACTTGTTTGACAAGTTATTTTCAAAATTCATTTTTCATTTTGTTTTCCAAATTGTTTTTAATGAACTGTAAGTTATTATCAACGAACTCATTGAGGGGAGATCAACTCCATTTACTCCAAAACTCAAGTCATCCATGAAGACACTCGAGACTTGAGAGAAACTAGAAAAAACTTCTATGAACGGTTACCTAAACTTATATCCTCAAATTTTCACTACATTTGTGTTCTAATAATCAGATAGCTATTTGACAACTGTTTCCAAAGGAGTCCTAAGTTTCTGAATAATTTGAAGATAGTGATTTGATTCCAAGGCTCGTCTTTCCGATAAGATGTAGACATTTGCAGACTAAAGTCATTATGGTTGATGTAGCAAGTCTAGTGACCGTATGATTTTGGGACTTGACCTTTTGCCATTTTTTGTTGTGGATTGGAATCGTAGCAGTTTTAGTTGTCTTTTGAAATTACTATCTATGTAGTTGTATATTGTTCAAGTTTCAGCATCTTCCATCTCATCCAACAATGGATCATATTTACTCTCTTTCAATGTGTTAATATACCTGACAGAGAATCACTATTCCTGAGATCAAGAACCATTCCTGGTTTTTGAAGAATCTCCCATCGGACTTGATGGATGAAAACACAATGGGAAATCAATTTGAAGAGCCTGATCAACCAATGCAGAGTCTCGATACAAGAATGCAGATAATTGCTGAGGCTACAATACCAGCAGTTGGTTCACATGGCCTTACCTACATGGCAGATAACTTTGACATGGACGATGATGATGACATGGATGGTCTGGACTATGAATCTGATCTTGATATAGAAAGCAGTGGCGAGATAGTGTATGCAATTTGACAATTGATACTGAGGCGCCGAAACAAAGAATTATGGGACTGGTTCTGACTTTCAAAGAATTTGTTTAGAGGAAGAACATTAGCTTGTTCTCATCCATTTGTAGGTTATCTTTACAAGTGCTTTTTGCTAGCCCTGGATTCACACGCTCCTTTGGATTGTGCCACGTCAATAAAACACAGCTCTTACCCCGCGTTGTCGAAAATGATTTAAAAGGCGACGAACAATGAAGAAGATAGGATTGGATGAAAGTGCAATGCTGTTCAAAGTCGGGATATCTGATCTGATCTGTTTCTTCTTCTTTTTCTTTTCTTTCTTTTTTTTTTTTTTTTTTTTTT